ACATTTAAAAGTGAATTGTTAAATAATGACTTGCGAAGTAATTTTTGAGGTTGTATTTCCTTTGGCGAGTTGAGAGTAAAACATTAGCATGCAACGGAAACTGCGCGCGCATCATAGGACAGACTATCAGCTGTAAATGTTAACTGTAACAATAATAAATAAATATGTACAAAATAACATCCAAATAAGTACATACACCGGTTTCTTTTTGTAATTATAACTAAAGATGCAATTTCTCAACTGGTTTATCAAACGAATCAAGTGCCTCAATATTTTCGATAACAAAAGTCAGTAAATATTAGTACACATGAATTCCATAAGGCAATCGTGAAATTGTCTCTTGCCAAGGAATGCCTACGAAATAGGTTATGACTTTGAAATGTATATTTGGAACGTTGCAGACGAGCGCATGTATGTGACTTACATAAATACAATTATTATCTGCGTATTGTAGAGATATTTATTATTCGTATATATGTATATTTAGAAAATTTCGTATTATTTTATAATAGAGCATGACATAAGCACATTATGTGATAACTATCAGCACACTATGTCGTTGGGGTGTATAGTACACTTCTGCAGACTTTATTATTATCCCTGGTCCAAAACCATGACACATCCATAATATGCAGTTCACATAGATATATTACATCAACATATGCGTATTTGAACGTACTCAGTATGCATAATAGATATTTTTAAGACTTTTCATCTACACGTCGAGAATCCAATGTTTTAAAGAATTTAACAGAGAACGATTTTTCGTAAGGATCTAGCGGGGTCTTTTGGTTGTACACATAAAAAATTAAGCTCTGTGTAATTGCGACGAACTTTTCAAATTCTTACTGTTCTATTCCCTTTTATTGCTTTTCACCCTATTTATTTGCCAGTGTAAAAAGAATATAATGAAAGCATTTTCATTTGCGTTACGATGGTTTTATTGAAAATTCATTTCGTGACGGAGATTTCGAATTATTTTTTAATATAGTTTAAGTTTTCAAAGCTTTGTAAAGAGAAACTCAATTTATAACTTCTAATTAAAAATGTCAAGCAGACATGCCTATAGAGGCACAACTTCTCCAATTATCGTAAACAAAAGGTTTAATCGATTGTTTCTTTTGACAGAATAACAATCAAGTCGGTCATACTTTTACCACTCGAAATTAACAGGCGGTGTAAAATTCCTTTACAAAAGTTGCTTTGAATTATACACCGTCAGCGTGACGAAAACTGCTGAATAGATTAAGATAAATATATTTAGCTTTTCATCAATACATTATTGCTCGTTAGAACCGCAGTGGTAGAGATTATTCCGAATTTCATGGGCCTGGGCCTTAGGCTGCGCTTTGATAAAACTTCATTGATTTCTATCTCTTAAAACTATTGGCCGTCATNGAAATATAAAATATTTCAAAAATCAAAACTTCAATGAGCAATAAAAAGTAATGACTGTACAAGTTCTTCATAAAACCAAGCAAAAATACCAAGACATAAAAAATAACTTCGCTCAAAATGTTACCATGTGACCATTATGAAAAAATTACCCTAAAATTACATAAATGAACAAAAGGCCAAAAATGCTTGACTAAATTATCGAGTTAAAAGTCATAATTAGTACTAAAAACTTCTAGTAAAATCATCGAGCCGAATAAGACTAGACCATAAGACACAAAAAATTCACCAGGCAAACAACCAGGAATCGGCAAACACCAGGTCTCCTCACGAAGACTCGGAAGAAGATGCTCTATTCAGGTTCGTCCTGATATCAACACCAGGACAGCCAATCAGAAGTAGAAATCCGTTACAATGCCTTATTTGGAGAGCTTAAGCCAGGAAAATTTCCACAGCTCGCGAAGGACCTCGACCGCGCAAAGCAAACTCATATCAACAAGAGGAGAATAAAAATCGCAACCTAGCACAATATTAGGAAATTTCCTTATGATGAATAACAGAATTTTTTGAACGAAAACAAACCGTTACAGACTACAAGTAGAAACAGAAGTAAAGAGAAACAAAAAAGTCCTAAAGTATATTACTGATCGCAATTAGTAAAACATGTGGGATGTTCTGACTATAGGCAAACATTGGCCCAGGAGAAGGGATAGAGGTGGGAGCAGTTTATAAAGAAAAACTGAGGAACGTTTAGTCAAAGCAAAGATAAGGACTGGTGTTATTTCCAGAATATAATTTTGACGCGACACGACATTACTGTAGTAGATTTTGTTGAACAAGATTAATCACTTAACGGAATGAACATGGACAAAGCGTAAAACCTTGACGGAAGAGTTATAAATTGTTCTCATAAAATAGTTGACCTATTTAATAAAATAACTTTTACAGCAATGCCCGTACCTTGTAGGTTGTCATTTTTTAAAATTATGCTAATTAGTTAAAATAGCGATTTGACTATTTTGTAGTAGACCCATCAACTTCCACATCCAACCTATTTATTACCATGAAAACTTATTATTAAATGGATTTCAATCAATTAATTCGTATGAAGACATATCTACTAGAAAACCATTTATTTTGAAAAAATATCCATCAAGAGACTTATTTAATTTAATCGTCCAATTAATGTATTCTAATTTTGAATAGTGGATTTACGGTTTAAAGGCCAATTAAATCAAAAAGGGTTGAATATATAATTGTGATTAAAGAAGGACTTGTGGACTTATTTAACAATAATTATTTCCAATTCAATATTTTCAGAAAAATGTAAAATTTTATTCGGCAGTATTATTGCAGTTCAGCGCCTAATAAATTGTTGAAATGCGAGCTTAACTATAACATTAGCAAGCACTGATGTTATCGTAAGAAATACATTGATAACATCACAATACATGCACAAATTAATCATATTTAATATGTATAGTATGCACTATTTGATTGATTAAAATAAGCTAACGTAATTACGGTAATACTTGTGGTTTAATTTACATTTTATTGTGGAACAATATTATACCCAGCGAATTCGATAAAATTTTATTAGCTTTTCGGACTCTGTTTTGTTAGCAATCCCATGGATACACATAAGTACTCAATTTGTATACAAATGAAAATTACACGGGCAAATAATTTGTTAATTCGTTGAATAAAAACAAATGCAAGTCCTAAACTAACTGTTTTCATTCAATTAANCCACGAAAATTTCCACAGCTCGCGAAGGACCTCGACCGCGCAAAGCAAACTCATATCAACAAGAGGAGAATAAAAATCGCAACGTAGCACAATATTAGGAAATTTCCTTATGATGAATAACAGAATTTTTTGAACGAAAACAAACCGTTACAGACTACAAGTAGAAACAGAAGTAAAGAGAAACAAAAGAAGTCCTAAAGTATATTACTGATCGCAATTAGTAAAACATGTGGGATGTTCTGACTATAGGCAAACATTGGCCTAGGAGAAGGGATGGAGGTGGGAGCAGTTTATAAAGAAAAACTGAGGAACGTTTAGTCAAAGCAAAGATAAGGACTGGTGTTATTTCCAGAATATAATTTTGACGCGACAGGACATTACTGTAGTAGATTTTGTTGAACAAGATTAATCACTTAACGGAATGAACATGGACAAAGCGGAAAACCTTGACGGAAGAGTTATAAATTGTTCTCATAAAATAGTTGACCTATTTAATAAAATAACTTTTACAGCAATGCCCGTACCTTGTAGGTTGTCATTTTTTAAAATTATGCTAATTAGTTAAAATAGCGATTTGACTATTTTGTAGTAGACCCATCAACTTCCACATCCAACCTATTTATTACCATGAAAACTTATTATTAAATGGATTTCAATCAATTAATTCGTATGAAGACATATCTACTAGAAAACCATTTATTTTGAAAAAATATCCATCAAGAGACTTATTTAATTTAATCGTCCAATTAATGTATTCTAATTTTGAATAGTGGATTTACGGTTTAAAGGCCAATTAAATCAAAAAGGGTTGAATATATAATTGTGATTAAAGAAGGACTTGTGGACTTATTTAACAATAATTATTTCCAATTCAATATTTTCAGAAAAATGTAAAATTTTATTCTGCAATATTATTGCAGTTCAGCGCCTAATAAATTGTTGAAATGCGAGCTTAACTATAACATTAGCAAGCACTGATGTTATCGTAAGAAATACATTGATAACATCACAATACATGCACAAATTAATCATATTTAATATGTATAGTATGCACTATTTGATTGATTAAAATAAGCTAACGTAATTACGGTAATACTTGTGGTTTAATTTACATTTTATTGTGGAACAATATTATACCCAGCGAATTCGATAAAATTTTATTAGCTTTTAGGACTGTTTTATTAGCAATCCCATGGATACACATAAGTACTCAATTTGTATACAAATGAAAATTACACGGGCAAATAATTTGTTAATTCGTTGAATAAAAACAAATGCAAGTCCTAAACTAACTGTTTTCATTCAATTAATATTTTAATTTTAGATTCATTTGGTCTGTGTATGCACATACGTTAAATTAAAATGTTCATTTTTTAAACATCTAATGCATACGTAATGTACTTAACTTTGTATTATGAACTTACCATAATAACTTTTATTTAACATTTTGCTTTCAATGTTAGAGCGTGTTTTGAAAGTGTATTTACCGATGGGGAGATGATGGAATAGATCAATTTTTGATTATATTATCGGCGATTAACTTACTCCTTACTGTCATCATCATAAGATCGTCAGTCCTAAGACTGGTTGGACACGCACCTCCACTCTTTCCTATCCTGAGCTAATCTTCGCACTTCCCTAAAACTAGAGTAACCCACACCCTTAACTATTTGCTAACACTAATCTAACCTAGGGTCTATCTCTACTTCTCTTAACTCCTGTTTGGGTTTTGATTAGGCTATTTCGGAAAAGGTTTCCCTAATTACTACTCACTGAAGGACTACTTTAGTTTATCATTTTACATTACTAAAGCAACTGGTACAATAATTTTTACTTAGACTGTTCTTTGGTTGCAGGGTTGACAACAATAATCATAGTTTGCGATTCCAATCCAAAAGGTGCAGGTAAGTGTCTGTTAAAAAAAAAATACAAGCTGTAATTATACGCTACTGAAGTGAAACTTCTTTAAACACACAAACATACCGGGATAGGGGTTAATGAATTGGTTTAATGGTATTATTTGTACACTATGAATTTAAATTTTACACTATACATGCCGGAGTTGCCTGTAACGAACGTTGCATTGAAGCGCGCTCACGGCTCAAGCGATCCCCACTACGAACTCGACTACGTGGCCGAGTAGAGGGGGGACATCCGTTGCATGATTTCGTTACATAGCAACTCGCATGAAACGAACTTACCCCAGCGTGCGTAAAGAAGTCTCACTTCAAAAGTTACATTGTTCACAATCAATTCTTAATCTCAAATTACCATCGTAAAGCATACCTATGCATGCGTTTTTCTCATTAAAATAAAGAGAAAGAAAGCAACTTTACCTAGTATTTCAATAAGAAAACTAACAAGAGTATTGAAAAATTGCATACATTATGCATATAGAAATGTTAAATAATATACATATAATATATTATACTTGAAAATACTTTAATTTACAATTCTGTACCATATTTTACATTAAAATCTGATCAGTACTAATTGAATTGAATGCAGGAAAGTGACTGTAGAATGAGGAATGAGGAATGTACCTAAATGATAGGTAATCGTAAAATTAAATTGAAATTTTCTATGTGCATATATGTATACTTATTTGATAAATATTAAATGTAAATACTATTAAATGATAGTCATCAATGTAATGTTTCTAAATTTATATTTTTCTATCAAACACATGAGAAACATAACATAAAGTATTAGAAAGGGAAATACTACAAATGGCGCAGTAAACGCCATCTGTAGCACGATGATACATTTAGCATCGTGCTACAGACGGCGTTTACTGCGTCATTTGTAGTATTTTCTAAAACGCGCTGTTAAGACAGCAGGTAAAAGTTGGTCTGTGTTCTATCGGAGCTGCCTGCGACGCGCTGATGAGATCCAAAAAGATGGAAATCGCAATCCGCGTCTGGCAGTTTCGACAGAATACAGACAACTTCGAATTATTTTATTAGCAAGGGAGTTAGACAGGAGCGCACACTGTCATCGCTACTTTTTAATCTATCCATCGAAGACGCGATCGACTTCATTAAAGCCAGTACAACTGTAGGGATTGATATAAGTATAGGAGTAAAAGATTAGTATGCCTATATTTGCAGATAATAAAGCAGTATTAGCATGTAGCAAGAAGGAGTTAGAGATAGCTTTAAATAAAATGGAAGCGGTATTGACAAACCAGTATTGTATGAAAATAAATAAAGGTAAAACAAAAATAGTGAGTGATTTTAGATATCTAGGATGTCAGATAAGTCAGGATGGAAGAAGTAGTAGAAATTAAGGAGATATAAAGCAGATAAATAGAAAAAAGCAATCTTATAAAAATAAGGTAATACACAAAAATACGATTAACACCTATTCATTCAATATAATACGTATTCCAAGAAGGGGTTCGTCTTAAGTTTTCCTTTATATTTATTTCTTTTCTGATTGAAACGTGGTGAGAATAATATGGTGCGGCGGATCTAATTTAATGTAGGTAGGTGCTTCTCTCTTTACGTGTGTAAATAAAGTGCTCGGAAAGCTCCTTTGGAAGAATGTTGTGTTGTATTCCTGTATATTCAGATTTTACGGAGAAGGAAACTGGCAAGGTAAAAGAAATGTGCTCTTGAGAAATACGCCACTTTACATGAAAAATGATTTTGTTTCCTCCTTTGCAACTCAAAAAAAAAATGATATTGGTTTGGAGTTACTTTCACTCTTTTTCATTGACTTCTTTTAGATATATGTTTATTATGTGTTTGTATACCATTAATGAGGTCTTTTTGTGGTCTTCAGAGAGTATGTTTTACAGGTAGATACAAAGAGTTACAAACTTTTGTTGAATCTTGAAGCAACTGACAAATGACCTACTACAGAAACAGATAAAGACAAATTAATTTTATAGGTTTCACTGTTAAATAATAAACAGTAATTTGTTATTTTTCGTAAACCGATACAAGCTATTTCGTTATAAACAATAACTCATGTCATCCGTTTCAGTATTAAAAATCTGCATTTCATAGTATTTTATACATATTAGTTAATACACCTAGTATGAATTACATTAATAGATAATTATATATGCATATTTACTAGATTTTAGCCGCGGTTTGGCTTGCGTTGAAGTCCTAAATACGTGTCAATGATCATCGATGACCACTTAAACCAATAGTTTTTGTCCTTCGGGAACAGTATTTTTTCTGGATAAGAAGTACTTTATGTCCTTATCTGTACCCCTAACAACGTGTCTACAAAATTTCATGATGATCGATTGAGTAGTGAAGGCGTGAAAAGATGACAAACAAAAAAATTCACAATCGCATATTTATAATATGAATGTCCCTGTCCGTTCACTTTTTGGCCCTAAAGATATTTAGTTTTGAAAAAGAAACATTTTTTTGGCCTTGAAAATAATTTAATTGTTATGTTCTAATCTAAAATTTGAAAAAAAAATGTTTAATAAACTCGGAAAATCCACAATTTCTTTATTTTCTTTTACTTATAAGGAGAAGTGGGGATCCAAAATCAGAAAATTCTACTTATGTACAATATAATTATATTTACACACTCCCTAGGTTATTTCAGCAGTACAGTATCTTCATCTTCTAATTATACGCATTATTCGATGTATCTTTGACCGAGCGACATGGCCTAGAAGATTATACTATTGCTTAACATTTATTGACATTGTTTTTATGGTTTTCTTGGATCATATATAGGCAAATACTAAGACAGTAACATTTTACAGATAATTATTCACTGTCTTGTGTCTTTCTTTAGTCCGTCTCATCGCTTTCTCGCCCCATCCACCACTCACCCTTTTCTACGATTCCTCAAAGGAGGCTGAAGACAGTTTACTGTCTTACTCTGTGGCGTTGTCCAGAGGGACTGCCTGCCTATCAGCATTAGGAGCTAGTGGGAATAAAACAAGCAAAAGTACTTTTCTTTTTAGTACGTCTATTTACAATTATTAAATTATAATGCGATTTTATGGTCGATTTCAGTATAAGTAAGCAATGTTTAACGTTTTTTAACAAAAATTCGGCATTTTATTTTTAGAAATTTATTGAATAATTTAGTTGTTTGTCATAGAAATTAATAAGAGAGTAAGTAGACTAGAGATGTAGAGATGAGTTACAGATAGAAGAGTGATACGTAGTTTGTTTAAAGAGCAATAGACAGTTATAGAGCTGGGGCTGCAACGTAGAGAAGTTAATATTAGAAAGGGAGTCGGACAGGGATGCCCATTGTCACCCCTACTTTTTAATTTATCGCGATCAACAACATTAAAGACAGTACAACTGTAGGAATAGATTTAGAGGGGCAGAAGATTAGTATGCTTAGATTTGCAGATGATTAGCAGTATTCAGATCTAGCAAGGATGGGATAGAGATAGCTTTAAATAAAATGGAAGCTGTATTGGCAAAGCAGTATTGTATGAAAATAAATAAAAGTAAAACAATAATACTTGTATCCAAGGGAAGCAAAAGTAGGGAAAGAGCGAATATAATGATAGGAAACGAAAGATTAGAAGAAGTGGCTGATTTTAGTATCTAGGAAGTCAGATAAGTCAGGATGGAAGGAGTAATAGGGACATAAAGCAGAGGAAAGCGCAGGTTTGAGTTGCCTTCAATAAAAAGAAGTCACTTCTATGCTCACGAACGGTTAATTTAGAAATTCGAAAAAGATTGTTAAATTTGTATGTTTGGAGCGCGGCGCAGTACGGGTTATAAACATGGACGGTTACCGTGGTGGAAAAGAATATCTTAGAATCATTCGAAATGTGATGTTACAGGCGGAAATGAGGATACCGTGAATAAGGAAGGTTAGAAATGAAGAGATATTAGAAAGAATAGGAGAACAGAATACTCTATAGAAGACAATAAGGAATAGGCGAGATAGGTTGGTAGGACACCTCAGGCATGGAGGTCTAGTCAGAAACATATTAGAGGCAAAAACAGGAGTTAAGAGGAGTATAGACCTAGATTATATTACTGTTCGCAAATAGTTAAGGATGTGGGTTGTTCTAATTTTAGGGAAATGCGAAGATTAGCTCAGGATAGGAAAGAGTGGAGGTGCGTGTCCAACCAGTCTTAGGACTGACGACCTTATGATGATGAAGATGATGAGACTATTCGTATAACATAAAATCGACGACATGAGTGCATACCACCTTCAACGGAACGTTTGATAAAAATCCATATTGTTGGTCTGTAAGCCGCGGTATTTCTACATTCAAAAGTGCATGCAGGACATAAAGATGTGCTAAACATGTAATGCCTTTATGAACCGCGAATTTGCAATGCAATGCAATGCTTCCGAAATCGAGCTTCCATAAATGAACGTATAAGGTAAGTACCTACCTATGTAAGAGATTTGTGTGTGTGGGGATGTACATATATGTATTTCAAAAAGGCCCTTTTAATGAATAGAAACCTTGGCCGATTTCCAAATATGCAAACATGTTTTATATGAACCGAATGAACCTTTTAATTAGCAAACTCAAACGTTGAACCTCATCGTAAATTAATTTGAGTGGTAATTAATTACATTGCTATGTATCATACATAGGTAGGTACTACAGCTATACAACATATGTGATAAAAATCATTTAATATCGCTTGTAACTCAAGAAGTATGATGATGATAAAAAATCGAAGAATTGATACACGAAATTCGCTAAATTTCGATACCTTTCGAATGACACTATACTAGACCACATTTTTTAGTTTCCATTTTGACCGTTTAAAATAGGATTTTCGCAGAATGCTTTGTCAATGCGCCTCTAAGTAAGAGTGTGAATATACTCTCAAAATTTCATTGCAATCGACCGCATAGTTTCGGCTGTACATCCATCATCAATCAGATAGTTAGGTTTATATGCCTTTCAAATACTATTATCAGCAACAAATAT